GCATTATGCTGAGTGAAATAGGCCAGGTGCTGAAAGACAAATACCATATGATCCACCCTTAACAGGAAGCTAAACAACAAAACAAACAAGTAAGCAGAAAAAAAAAAACCCCAAAAAACAAAGACACTGAAATAGAGAACAAGGGGATAGTGACCAGAGGGGAGAAGGAAGGGAAGTTAAGGGGAAAAAAGGGGGAGGGATTTGGAGGAACAAATAAGGAAGGACGAGGGACGAGAACTAAGGGGGGGGAGGAAATGGGAGGGGAGGTGGGGAGCAAGGGGCGGGGGAGGCTGGGATGGGAAAAATAGACAAAAAACTGTACTTGAAAAATAACTAAATAAAATTTAAAAAAAAAAAAAAAAGTCACTAATGTAGCCCTAGCCAGGGAGTGGGCAACTTTCGTCAAACGCACTACAAACCGTTTTGTGCTTTCAGCAGGCGTGAAGAAGCACTACCACCGGTAATGTGTGGCGGGCCTCTGGTCACGTCAAAGTGCCGGCAGGATGGTTCTACTGTGTGGAAGGGCTGTCTGTTCCTACGTCCCAGCAAACAGTTGCAGGGGACCATGCTGTCGGGGAAGACTGACACTGTTTATGGCTCACAGGCCCCACTTGCCCGGGATGGACGGGAATGCTCACTCGCACCTGACTGCAACAGTGATCCACACTTTTAGCCCCGCTGAATATATTATACACCTTTGTCTATATTTACAATGTTAGTCATGGTTACCTCTTTGAATATAGAAATAAGTAAATTGTTCCACGCTCTGACCAAAGCTTTGAATGCTGCCACTCAAGCCATTGGGGCCATCAGTCAGGCGCCAGGACAAGTTAGAGATGCAGTGCTAGAGAACTGTGCGGCTACAGACCGCTTCCTCTTAGGACATAATCATGGACCTGAACAATTTAAAGGACCTGGCTGTTTCATCCTGACTGATAATTCACAGCTCGCAGAGCATAAGGCAAAGCAAGTAACTGAAGTGGCGTCCAATATAAGACAAAAAGAGAGATTCTTTGGTGTTGATTTGTCTAACTGAACCTCCTGGCTGCCTAGTGTTACTGGTCTTAGAGGCATTTATTACTCCCATTTGTCTCGTCTTTTTCAGTAGCACAGCTTGTTGTTGCATACAATGTGCCTTCTTCTGTGGATCTGCAGTGAAGTGCATTCCCAACCCCTACCACACTGTCCAATGCTAACGTACATGCTCAACAGCAAAATGGTTACTTCCATATGGCACTGATCTCACAGAGATAAGACAGTTTAAATTAACAGTGGGGAAGTGCTGGGGGAACTCAAAAGCTGGAAAATGTTTAGCATTAAGTTATAGTTAATAAGCTTATTAATTAATGCATCTAGACAGCCATTGTCCCAGGAACGGGGATGTATAACTGGACCCACCTGACTCCAGGAGACCCACAAGCAGTTCAACCTTTGTGTGCCGGGAGACTGCAAGCAGTCAAGATGGTATCTGAGCCTCTGAGCCACTGTGCTCCAGGGATAGATGTCCCCAGCCCAGAACACAGATAAAGAATCACCAAGCAAGAGATGAAAAGGTACTAGGAAAACTGCTGGACTGCAGCTCCTATCTGATTAACATTTTCCCTGAATTCCAAACCCCTTACCTACTTTCCTCCTGAATTCCAAACCCCTTACCTACACTTTTCTTCTCTTTACAAAAAAGTTGGCTAGAGATGAAACACAAGCCGGTCTTTAGGGATACATGACCTGTTGTCTTCTCAGATCGCCGGCCATCTGAATAAAGTGCCCAAACAGATTCAATCCTTGTCTCTACCTCGTGGCTCTGGTCGTGACAGGCAGCATGAACACAGATTTTTCTGGTTTCATTTACTGCCTAGCCATGCTCCTGGTGGGCTAGACTCCATGCTGAGAACAGTATTCTCTTTTTTTTTTTTTGCCAGCAATGGCCTAATAAAACCTTTCTTTTAAAAAGACTTGTGCCCATGGAAGTTTTTTTGTGGTTGTTTAATGACTTATTCATAAAAACCAAAGAAGAAAAAGCACAAACTTTCCATTCTACCCAATTCCCATATAACACCTTTTAAATCCTCATCATTGTGAATTCCTCTAGAACCAAAATCACCTGGAGAGGCTGTTAGAAGATTGCTGGGCCCCATCTCAGAGGGGGGAGGAGTCAGTGGGTCTGAATCAGAAAATCTGCATTGCTAATGACTCCCGGGAAGCCGATGCTGCTGACCCAGGGGCCACATTTGCAGAGTGCGGCTCCAGACAATCCCTTCAACCATTTTTTCCCTACTGGTGGCAGTTACCTACAAAGCATTTTCTATAAGACTGTCAGCTGATTCCTCAAAAGAAACCCTGCAGGCAAGAAGGGGCTGGAAAGAAGTATTCAAAGTTATGAAAGGCAAGGACCTACATCCAAGATTGCTCTATCCAGCAAAGCTATCATTTAGAATGGAAGGGCAGATAAAGTGCTTCCCAGAAGGTCAAGTTAAAGGAGTTCATCATCTCCAAGCCCTTATTATATGCAATGTTAAAGGGACTTATCTAAGGAATAAAAGATCAAAAACTATGAACAGTAAAATGACAATAAATTCACAACCACCAGCAACTGAAACTAAACAAAAACGAACTAAGCAAACAAGTAGAACAGGAACAGTATCAAAGAAGTGGAGATCATAGAGAGGGTTATCAGTGGGGAGAAGGAGAGTGGGGGGGAAAGGGACAGGGAATTGAAGCATAAACAGTAGGTACAAAACAGACAGAGGAAGGTTAAGAATAGTATAGGAAATGGAGAAGCCAAAGAACTTACATGTACGACCCATGGACGTGAAGTAAGGTGTGGGGGTGGGGTTGGGAATGCTGGTGGGAGGGGAATAAAGGTGAGAAAAAAAAGGGACAATTGTAATAGCATAATCAATAAAATACACTTAAAAAAACTAAGATATGTATTGCCCTGGCTGGGTGACTCAGCTGGTTGGAGCACCGTCTGGCACGCCAAAAAGATTGCGGGTTTGATACCCAGTTGGGTTGTATGGGAGATAACTGACTGTTGTTTCTGTCTCACATCAATGTTTCTCTCTCTCTCTCAAATCAATAACCATCCTTAGATGAAATGTTTTAAAAATAAAATAAGTAGCTTTTATTTTCTTCTCCAAATTGTTAACCAATTTCCCCATGTCTTCCTTTCTACTATAAGAATATATAACGCCATCACATTCAAGAGTCCAAATAAAAAATATACAAAATACATGTATGCAAGTATGTCTACTGTTGGGCCCAGTTATACAACCCAGTTCTTGGAAAACTGGCATTTCCCATTTAAATGTAGCACATGTGACATCAGTGCGATGTGGCCTCTAGCACACTCACACATGCGATGGGCAGGCCCCAGCACGAGGCTCCTGACAGGCCGACACCGACCTTGCTGGCTTCTCGTCCTCACGGCTGTGAGCCGGGCGGGTGCCCACCTCCTAACCTCACCTCCTAACCTATGAGGAACTGACTGAAAGCGCACATGTGACCCTTTGAAATGACGAAGATTGATGGTCCTAAATTCTCACCTAAATCTGACTATAGGATTCTTGATGACCTCTTCAAATAATAAAAAACGATTCTCAGGTACAGGTTAAATTAAAATAAAAAAATTCTTATTGGTTTTGAATGAATACTTTTGTTACACAAAATGTCTAATGGACTCCATGTTGTTATAAACATTTTGGAGGGTAGAAAATATTCCTTCTATTGCAAATTGATGCGGCCACTATGAAAAGCAGTGTGGAAGTTCCTCAGAAATTTAAAAACAGAACTACCATACAACCTACCAATCCCATGTGTCTGGGTGTTTATCTGAAGAAATCCAAAACACTAATTTGAGAAGATACATGCATCCCTATGTTCACAGCAGCATTATTTACAACAGTCAAGATATGGAAGCAGCCCAAGTGTCCCACTGATGGATGCTGGATAAAGAAGAAGTGGTTCAGATACACAATGGAGTACTACTCTCCTATAAAAGAGAAAGAAATCTTACCGTTTGCAAAAACATAGAAGAACCTAGAGGTTTTATGCTAAGTGAAATGAGTCAGAAAAAGACACATACCACAGGATCGCTTACATGTGGGATCTAAAAAACAAAACAAATAAAACAGAAACAAACTCATAGATACAGAGAGTAAACTGATGGTTGCCAGATTAGAGGGGGCTTGGGGGGTTGAGTGCAAGAGGTGAAGAAATTAAGAAATAAAAACTGGCAGTTACAAAACAATCACGGGGATGTACAGTGCAGCATAAGGAATACAGTCAATAACACTGTAATAACCATGTGCAGCGCCAGGTGGGCACTAGACTTACTGGGGTGATCACCTCATAAGATACAGAAATATCTAACCATGAAGCTCTACACTTGAAACTAATAGAATATTGGATATTAACTGTAATTGAAAAATAAAAAAAGAAAATATTCCTTCTTGCTCATGTGAGTAAAAGAAAAACAAGTCAGTGACAAGCAAAGAACACAGGCGCGGCACAGTTCTCCTTAAATCTGTGTAAGGTTTTGGTGTCTTCGAGTGGTGAAAGGTTCATGAGCCTAGTTGTATAGATAGAGTGGATTTAATTTCTCTTCTTAAGCTCTATAATTGTACTCCACGAAGAAAAGATACCGACAGAACATGAATACAACCCTTCGGGCCACATCTGTCTCCCAAATTAGGACAACGAACACACTGCCTGTCCTAACACAGGAACAATTCAGACCCGGAAAACACTCCCACTCAAGAAAGTCTTCAATTAGAGGTAAATCCTGTACTATGACAAATACTAGCACCTCAAAGGTATTGGTGTCAGCCCCTAAAATAGCTCGAAAGGCCCAAGATCACATGTATGGTACACAGAATCATGCAACTTTTTTATATACTAGTAGGAACATCCCTGAATACTTTTTCCAATCCTTTTGATTAATAGAACTAGAGATTAAAAGCTAAGTCCAAAGGCTCAAATTTTGGCTCAAGTAAATTTTAAACTCACTTTATGAAATCACTGGTTTCCTGATCGCTGTCTTGCGTTGTGTCCAAAGAAAAGGCGTCCGAGAGTTCAGTGGTGGAGTCCTGTCCATCTGTGGCAAGTGCCTGCGTTCCCGGGGAGCTGCTGGTGGTTGCCCCCTCCTCCTCCATCCCTTCCTCATGGCGGTCCCCAGCACTTGGCAAACTTTCCTCAGTTCTGTCATGGTCCTCTTTTAAAGAGGATTGCTTGGCCTCGCCCAGGGATGACTTGCCAGAGATACTGAATAAGTTACCAAGAAACTGGAAGAAGCTTTCTTTTGGCTGCCGGTCGCTTTCTCCTGTCTTGCTATCTGAGGTGGAACTGGAAAGGTCGTTTGGCTTTTTGGCATCTTCTTGCATCGGCAGAGCAGTCAGCTTCTCGGCATGGTTCCTTCTGTGCTCACTTTGGGGAATCTTTGAAAACAAAATAGCAATAACAGCGTCACCATTAAAATAACGCAGATTGGTGGATATACATGATACACTCTGTGCTAGACCCAGGGATACGTTTATGAATAAGCCTGATGGCTTTTGTTCCCCTGGGAAGTTTGCAACCTGCTGAAGGGCACAGTCCGCACACAGCCTTACAACGCTACATAGTAATGAAATGTCAGGGAGGAAGAGGCACAGCGCACCTGGGAAAACCAGCCCGTGTGGTGGTGGGGAGAGCGGAGCAGGTAACTCGGGGGATGCTTCCTAGAGGACATGACCTGTGAGGGAGGCCTAAACAGCGACTTTGTGATGCTTGTGCATCTTCCCTCCCTCTCCCCTGGCCCTTCCTCTTCCTCCCCTTCTTTCTGCTCAGTGAGGAACCAACTTCTAGGTAGTTAAATGTGAGGGACAAAATGAGAAGAGTGAAAGGTTAAGTATGGGGGCCTAAGTAAAGGAACAGATCCTGGCAAACTTTATGTGTATTTAAATTTAGCCTTTACTATTGCAAAGCTAATAGTATTTTCAAACACTTAGTACAACAGACAAATAACACCTAAACAGACTTGATCATTTCAGCATTGCATTAACTTGCACAGCTGCCACATTGTGTAAAACTGTTCTTTAAGAAGGCCAGGAAAGATAGCAACATGGCACATCAATTCAGAGGAAAACTCTTCGTGGTAAGAACAAAGCTCTGATATGCATGTTCATGCAAACCGTGCACAGCACGGGGATTCCTGCAGATATTTCTGCTTCCACGAGTGCGTTTTACCTGCCCATAACTAGGTACTAGTAAAGCAGACTGATTCACGTGTACTCTGTGTGAGGAGAGATTAAACTGCTGTGTCAGAGAACAAGCTGGCGTTCCGCCTCACGCTCTTCTCTAAACCTTCATTAGCTTCAGGCCAATGTACCAACGTGCTCTGCCTTCCAAACATGCTCACTCACCCACCTGTAAAAGGAATGTGCGCCTGACCGTATCTGTCAGATGCTATGCTCACTAGGTGCTTCCAAAAGGAAAGCTCAACTGTGACTCAGAGAAAGATCAGGACACCAAGGCTCAAACCACCTTGGGGCACGGAAGGTTCTCGTGACAAAGTTTTGCAAGAAGCTGATCTTCAGGAAGGCAAGAGGACTGTAATTATAATGTTGTTTGTTCATCTCATTCCATGTTTTAAGCCAGATTCAAAATAGTTTAAAGGAGTGCTCCACTAACTACTAATAAAATTTAGCATATGAAAGGTTCCGAAAATACATGTGTAGAACCCATTAACCCAGGAAATGAATTGTGAGCAAATGATATTTTAAGTTTTCCCACCCTGGGTGTCAGAGTAGTTTGGAGTACTCTGACACACAGCATTTTTCTGTATGTTAGGACGTTAATATAACTTGTGAGTCTCTACATTTAGAAGATGACCAGCCTTTGAGAGTCACTGAAAGCCTCACCTTTTACTGGTTGCAACTGTAACTCGATCCCACTCCTGCAGCCAGCCTTCCGCCATTCCATTCCGGAGCCCACACCCAGCGGGGCCCTCTCCTCACCCAAACCGCACAAACGCCCACTCTGAGTTTGGCAGCACCAGGTGTGCGAGGTGACACTGTGAAAATGCTCATGTGTGTGAAAGAGCCACATTTTTTTGTCCTTTACTCCCTTTCATGTCTTATCATTTCCAGCCCCAAAGTTTCCTTCCGAGTCAAATGAACTAACACTGTAACAGTAACAGAACTGTGATTTTTTTCTGTAACTAGTATACATGACAGCTCATCCTCGGTAAGCCACTTACTACAACAGCAAAGCAGGGTGGGGCAAAAGGAGGTTTACAGTTGTTCCCATGGAAAAATAATACAACGAATAATAATAAAAGTTTCATATACTCACAACTGCAAACCTACTTTTGCACAACTCTGCATTCTGAAAAAAGCTTAAGAGCTTAAGGGATTCACAGAGTCTTATCATATTGGTGCAATGGTTTAAAAAAGGGAGATTTAAGAGACAAGGAGATCACATTTTTTTGACTATCAACAAAATCTCAAGACAAATAATTTCTGTCAAAAACAGTGTTTATTTCACCACCTAAATTATTTTCACTTGATAATTCCTTTCAAAGTACAATAGACTAGTTTCTAAACTAGTTTCGCTAAATTAATAAAAGCTTTCACGTTTAATTTTTACAGTTTTTTATATATACAATAAAAAAAATCACCGGTTTCTCTTTCCCCTCAATTTTTAGCTTCTTTGCTTTTCCAGAATTCCTGTATCTTAAGTTTACTAAAGAGCACTTTTTTTTCAGTTTCCTAAAAGGTCATAGTTGCTTAGTTTTTCCTTAATAATCTTATAAGACATTTTTATAAATAATTAAAATCCACTCAGCCAGAAAACTGCATCTAAATTTAAAAACAAAAACTAGCAGAAAAGAGCACTGCTATTCCAAGTAAACACAATAACATTTTGTATTTATGTAATTAAAATTTTAAGTTTGTTCTAAACCAGCTATTTGCCCTGGGCTTACACAACACTTATATTAATTAATATCTGTTTCTTCCTGTAGAACGTGAAAGCCACAAGGGCAAGGAATTTTGTCTATTTTATGCACTGCAGTTATCTCTAGCACCTTGAAAGGCGCCTGACAATAAGAGCCAAAAATGCTCCAGTAGGTGTTGGGTCAGCACATGGAGGAATGAGGGGAATGAGGAGCATTCTCCTCGGAAAACGGGGGAAACAGTCACGGCGGCCGAGGAATCTGTGAGGACGCCCCAAGTCCCAGGTGCTGCCGGGCAGTGAGTGAGTGGCAAGGAAACAAATGGAAACAGTTGCAAGTGGAGGGGAACACTCCTGAGAGATTTTTTTAACTAATAAAAGTGAAACACGAGGTGACAATTTAAGATCCAAGACACACGAAATTGTTTTTTGTTCCTGTTTTGTGGCTCAGCTCCTATCTGGTGGAGAGGGAGGGACGCTGGCCGAGGGAGAGGATGGGCCCCGGAAGGAACAGCAGGGATGAGGAGATGAACAGACCAGCATGGTCTCTCATACTTACTCTAGTATTATACATTTTAAATTAAATTTACTGGGGTGACGTTGGTTAATGAAATGATAGGTTTCAAGTGTACAATTCTATGACACATCATCTGTATACTGCATTGTGTATCTAATATTTCTAGTAAGTATTAGCCTTGGAGAAGAACAGGGACATTTCCTCTTCCAAATAAAGTGGAAAGAAAGTGGCTGAAGCCTGAGCAATTCTGTAAGCAGAGAAGACAAGGGGGGAGGTCTGACAATCAGCCCTGACCTCAGTAAAGTGGGGAGAGGGATGACAAGCTCAAGGAGGGACTCGGGGGTGGAGGTGGGGCTCTGAGGAGACTTGGAACAGTGTTTCTGGGCAATGCAGCAATAGGCCGAGACCAGGTATACCAAACAGCAGTCAAAGTGAATGTAAACTTTAAAGTGTCCACTAATAAACAATGAACAGCAAGACACTATTCTAGGTGCTTAGCTGCAACAGTGAAAAATACACCCAAAGCCCTGCTACATTCTAGTGATATAAAAGCTGATTTGCGGGTCTGGCATCTGTTTGTCTGTCATCTCTTCCAGTAACCTCTAGCAGGTGCAGGTGCTGTGGCACGAGGAACACAGTCAAGGGATGAAGTCGAAAGAAGAGCACGTTGCGTGGAAAATAGGGAAGGGGCAGGTTACCCTGTACTGTCTCCAGCACCTGGCTTGGTCTTCTTTCCACCTCAGGCTCCACCTTCACTGTACACAGTAAGGAAGGCTGACCCCTCAAAACACCTCACCCCTGTTCCTCAACTCTAATGACCCCCAGCTCCACTGTGCCTCTCCCTGCTCCCCGGGCCCTGCGGGGCTGTCTCTGCCCAGGACGGCCCTCTGAACCTCACAGGGCAGGCATTCCCAGTGCTCACATCCCCTGCTCTTCCCAGCATCCTACCCAGTGCCCCAGGGGGACCCCCCACGCCAGCTCTGCTGCCTCTGCACAGCTCCTGTCCTTTCTTACTCGGTCCCCCTTTCAGTTCCTACAAGTGTTCTTATCTTTTCTGTCCAAACCTCAAATACGGCCAATAACCTCAAAGCCTCTTTTGTTTGTTTCTTGGTCATCCCCACCCAGAAAAATTCCAGTTTTATCTTTTCCATATAAATGAACAAGTCGTGCGTTAAAAACCCTCAGGGAAATGCACAGCTAGACAGATTCAGACTGCCAGCAATTCACAATTTACAGCCCCTGCTGGCTATCGGTCTGCGACCTTCCCCCATTCTCCAGGGCAGCTAATCCTAACCTTCCCCACATCCCTAAAACTACCCCCTCCACTGTCCACGCCCGCCCTCGTCCTATCTTATGGAGACACCCCTCGCGGTTCTGACTGCACCTCCCTCTACCTGCAGGGCAGCAGCAGCGCCCACACTCGCCCTCCTCCCCCACGGCCACTTCCCCCACCAGGTGTCACTTCACATCCCCGTGTCTTGTCGGGAATCTCAGCTCAGCATCTGCCCCTCAGTAAGCCCACCATTCCGAAGTGTGTGTCCAGACACAGCCTTCTCCTCACTCGTCACTACCAACCCTCCTAAACAGGAGTGAGCAACCCCGCCATCTTCTTTCCCGTTCCCCCCAGTCCCTCATTAAGGCCCAGCATCCTGGCCTCCTCCCCACAGTGCCGTGGCCCTGATCTGTCTCCGAGACCCTGTCCCACTTCATAATTCAGTGCACTTCTTTTTCCTGTCCTGGTCTTCTGTGTTGTGTTTACATCTTCTTATGAGATCATTTCCCAGATTTGATTAATCAGATGATTCCCAGATCTGTACTCTCTGCCCAGACTGTGTATCCAACTATCGACCAGATATCCACATCCACCTGGAACTTCAGGCTCAGTACATCCCAAATGGAGATGACCATGCTATGCCTCCGTTCTTCCATTTTCTGTAAACCGTAACGTCCCCACTTGTTAAAAAGGTCAGACAGAACGTCCATGACCCCGAGAGGACTGCCAGCAATGACCTAACTTGTTTCCTCCCTTTACTGCTACAGTCCCCCAATCTACTCTCCAGACTAAAGGCAGAGCAATCTCTTACAATTCTAATGTGGTCATCCTTGAAGGCCTTGGGCTGTGCACTGCCGTCAGGATAAAACCCGAGGTCTCTCGCATGGCATTCAGGATCCCGGTGGATCTAGCGCCTGTGTTCTCCAGTTTCATCCCCGTCACCCACTATGTTTACAGTGTCTAACGGCGTCGTCCGCACTCACTCATCCTCTCCCCTCTCCTGCCTCCTCCCCTGCCTGTCTAGGAATTGCAGTGCTATTCCTCCTGCTGACACCATTTATCTCTCGCTCTCCCTGACTGGGAAATTCCCACTAGGTTTTCCAGAGTGGAAACTGCCCACGTGTGATCTTCCCATGGACACCCCAAGTCTTTTGTCTTCCCTGTCACCGTGGGGCGAAGGCAAACAATTTCATAGGCTTCCATGTCACGAGTGGGACTACTACCTAAAATTACCAACAGTTACTAGAAGCTGGCACTTATATGTAAAAGGCAGCTGCTTACTACAGAACTCCAGTTAGCTTTCTCCCAAGACCTGTGCCCACACACAGTACTTGGCAAATTTGCCAGTAACTGAAATTCCACCACCAAGAGTTGCAATTTTCTCAATTTTGAGTAAAATATTTATTATCAGTTAATTATTACTGATATATTGAGTTAGCTACAGTTAGATGATGCTAAACTTCTAAATAAAAATCATTTTTTATTTACTTTTAGCATAATGAATTCAGTTTCTGGTGGGTTATCTGTTTAACTTCATATTGACTACAGACATATTTGCATCAACAATATTTTTCAGTAAATGGATTTTACAGAGATGAGCCATTTATCCTGCTATTGTTAAAGTAATTTTGCTTAAAAGATTATATTTTTATCACAGAATTATTTTTCCACTAAAAATTAGAACAAGCAAACAAGTTGGCTATCAGGTATTTTGCCCTAAGCGAGTCATCATTTAACATAAGGAATAAGTTATCTGTAACTTTCATGTCATGGCACACCAATGTTGTGACTGGTTCTGAGATGTCACAAATAATTTGTCACTAAAATTAGTTAGCAAGCTGAAATGTCACTCTTTAAAAATGCTGTAGAATGGAAATGAAGGTTATATATCTGTGATGTTACTTTCAATTTGTCATGTGCATGTAATTTCTGATAAAGGAATGTAGTTATATCTGTGTGCTAAATAAGGGCCCTTAACTCCAGGTGACCCGAGACAGTCATGTAGCACGTGTGTCGGAGTAGAAGTTGCTGACCTAGACGGGGAAGTGAGAGCTTCCGGACACTTCAGTCTCTCCCTGGACGCCCTCCAAGCTGCCTGCCGTCCTGGTGCTGGAGCCCGGAGGGAGGGAGACCCAGCAGATGAGTCTGTGCGGGTTCTTTAGGAGGAACTGCTTGGGGCTTCAGCAGTTTCTCCCACTGACCAATCCCTGCCGGTTTTGCAGCTGGAAGTTGTGGGGACTTCCTGGCACTGGAACTCTGGGCTGGGGGGCCTGGTGTGGGTCTGGGACTCGTCCAAGATATCTCTCCCCAAATTCTGTCCAGCACACTTGAATGTGGGACCAGCCTGTTCCTCATCTGCATCTCTCCTACCAGTCTGGATGGATGTGTGGTTTCTTTAATTCTATAGTTGTCAGACTTCCACTCAGCTGAATTTCTTATGGTCCTGAGTTTCTGTATTTTAGCTGTAATCTTGATGTGGTTGTGGGAGGAGGTGAACCATGTCTGAGTACGCCACCATCTTGACCAGATATAAGAACTGAGTTTACTCTTTCTTATAAAAAAGAAGGTTGCTGTAAAATAGTAGGTTGTGTTATGCCAGCAGCAGCCTCAAAGGGTGTTTACATCTCCCGATTGCATCATCTTGGCTTGTGCTTGATTTAATCTTATGTTTTGTGTAGTAACGTGCTGTACAGGTTTGGAGCCTCGGAGCAATCGGCCGTACCGTCCAGCCCAGGTGTGCAGCAGGCTGCACCGTGTGGGTCTCCGTAAGTGCTCCCTATGGTGTTTGCACAAAGACAAAACCGCCCAATGGCGTGCTTCGTAGAACACACCTCCTGCCATGAAGCTGCACGTGACTGTGTAGCATGTGACGTTTTAAGAACTAAAAATATCTAAATGTCTGAATATAAAGCTTCCATAGTCTCTATTTGTTTAAAAAATGCAATTAATGTTTGTAGCTGAAGTTTATAATCAAACAATCTTCAATATCTTGATTTGGTATCTCAAAGTCAAATACTCACAAAATGTGTTAGAGTATTCATTATATATATAGATCTTTTACATTTCAGACTCAAAAAAAATGTTGTACATTTTCTTCTTACCATGAAATTTGGGTTAACAAGATGGAAGTATGGCAAGAAATGTCGCATTACAGTGGAGTGCTGTTCTCAGAAAACTATTCATTAGAAGGAAAGCAGATGCATGTTTTATGACGCTTGCTAAATGCCAAAACTTAAATTGAGACTATATAAAACAAGATCATAAATATTGTTGCTAATCTTTCCCCTCAAAGTATAGGACTATTGGTATTATCAAAATATACATTGAGGCCTGGCAGCAGCAGGTCCCTGCAAAATTCCTACGAGTAGTTTCCAGCTGATAAAAGAAAAGTTACACGTGCCAAAATGCTCAGGCTACCCCAGGGAGGGTTCCACGGTGCGCTTTCTGTTAGGGGCGACCTGGGCTGCCCACGTATAAATAAACTTACAGGCCCCAAATCACAAGGAGAAACAGCATCATGACTGAGTCATATTTGCCGGGGGGACCCAGGTCCCAAACTGAAATGATCACAGGCACTCAAAACAAGGTATCAGGATTAGATAGAAAAGATTGTAGTCATGGAGGCCCAGCAACAGGACCTTCATATTATAAGGCCGGGCTGCTCTATTTCACCACCATATATATTTACCGAATCTACAAAAACGCAACTTTGTAGGTGAAATCTCTGCAGGTGGAAAGTAGCACGATTAGAAATTAAAGTCTGAAGGCCAAGTCTGAAGACTGAAGGTTTTCACAGTGAGATTAGAGCTGAAGTGGTAGACTGTCAGTTACAGGCTGAATAGAGCAACAAGTAGAGACGCAGAAGGGAGAAGGCGACAGGAAGAGGAGGAGGGTTTGGTGAAGGTCAAGGGTAGGTAGAGAGACAAGGAAGGATTAAGGTCGGGAAAGACGAGAGTTGGCAGCTACAGAAACTTCGAGGTCTGAGATCTCACAAGTAACACTTCCTGTGAAGCAATTCAAGGGCAAGGCTGTATAACAAAATTAAAAGTGAGAATCTTCAAGTAGGGCAACTCGAGACATGTAAAAACAGGAGAGGAGAGCCATCGAGTCTGTGCAGTGATAAGCCAGCAGGCTGGCTAACAACTCGGCTGCACAGGAGTCCGCGGCAGATGTTATAAAACTTGGGAGCAGGATTTTGCAGACAAACTCACAAAGGAAGGAAGGAAAATGAAGGAAGCAAGGTATCCTGATTTGTTCTTTCAATGAAGTTTTTAAAAAGCCATATACTGATTTTTCTTTCAAAAAATATTTATATTGTTTACGATGACAGGGAAGGCTGGACTAAAGACCAAAACTGCTTTATCTTGACCTTATTTAATGCGTCTGGACTTTATACAGTGTTTAAAAGTGCCCCACATCAATAATGAAGACGTCGGATGACTCCCTGGTCCTTCCACTGACCGGGCTAACTTCACTGAGATCCTTCGAAAGTACACACTTTTCCTTGATGGCCTGTCACAAATCATGTGTGAAGACAGCGACTGGGACCGAACTCTATGAACGTGGGAGAGCCACCACAACCTGACACACACCAGGCCTCATATCACCAAATAACACAAGCTCCTAATTTATAGAAAACCTCTGAGTAAAAAGAAATATTATAAGGTTTCATGATTTTTATGGGTTTTTTAACCATACTTGTCAGTAGGTATCTAGGCAGATGTACAGCTGATGCACACTTTTGAAGCAAAGAAAGCTAGTTCAACGTGAGTTGACCAAACATACCATCACATGCTAGAACATGTGAGAACATGTTATCAACTTCTACTCTCAAAGGCACTATTAGCTGTCAGTAGCACTTGAGGAAATGAAACATAAATCGAAGACCTTCCCAGAGAGAAAGAGGCTGTGGAGGTCAGGTGGCGCAGTTTATGGACAGAAAACTACGAAGTGAAGAAGTTAAATGCCTCGGCTACAGGCCGCGCAGCTGGTCAGCGGCCAGGCGGGGATGAGCCCACCACGCTGGTTCAACCTTCTCAGTTCAGCCCCTCGCCCCACTTCCACCCCAGCCCAAGGCGCGAATGTCTGATACAGCTGGGCTGGATGCCACAGTAAGTGCTCTTTCGGGAATGTGAAATGAGATGACAGAATCTAGAAAATAAGAATGAGCAGAAGAAATTAAGAGAAATATTTGCTTAATATAAAATATGAATGTAAAACTATACCTTTACTGCTTCTGATGAAAGTACATTTTCCTTTTTCTGACTTGTACTCATGGGCTCATTTTCAACACTGAAAAATAAAAACCACAGTTTCTTTTGAAATTAAAATAGAATTACTAAAACAGACAGTTCCTGTGTTTAAAGCAAAAATTGAAAGGTCCTTTATCTGCAATTCTCGAAGGATTCATATACAAATTGTTACACTAAGAATATGTTGATTTGAATCTGTACACTTAAAAAGGCATAAAAATGCTCATCCAGAAAAGATAAAGGAATCAAGTTGCATGAATTGCCCATTAAAAACAATCATAGGGATATAAAGTACAGCATTGGGAATACACTCGATACTACTGGAATAACTATGCGTGGTGCCAGATGGGGTCTAGACTTATTGGGGGATCAGCTCATAAGTTACATAAATGCCTAACCAATACATTGTACACCTAAAATATAACATTGTATGTCAACTGTAGTTGAGATTTAAAAAAAATGCTCATCCGGGCTTCAAAAATTTTTGTGAGTCTGCTGTGCGTTATATTTTCTTACACTGATCACCAGCATCACAGTAGCGAGCAGCAGTGTACAAACAACCGTCATAACCTTGGGAAGTACTGGCACTCTGCTTTTATTTCTATTAAGGCTCTCCACAGCCTGATTTTTTTTTTTTACATGCCTATGCTGAGTATTATTTGGAATATGTTTCTACACAGCAAATTTTTATAAACGCATAGGGTTGCCCAGCAAGTTCGGGGAATACTCAAAATAGATGCAGGCTCATCTAGCCCCAATGTGCCCCAGACGGCACCTTAAGAATCTGATTTTCCAGAGAGTCGACTTTAATTGTCTTGTTAGGAACACTTCCACAGATGTCCTTTCAGATGGCATGACAAACCGCTTTGCCTAGTAGGCACATATGCATTTTAGGTCTAAACATGTATATCTCTGTAAGTTATCTTGTTTCCAGACTTTCGTAATCCCAGACAAATTAAGTAGCTCCCCTGTAAAGGGCACCCTGACTGCCTCGGTACACCCGGAATGGTGTTTGGCCTCCAGGATGTTAAGAACAAGTAGGTCAGGGACACTGTAAAACTTGGTCTCGTAGGAAAGGCTGATACACAAACTAACAATACAGTTTGATACAAGTTGTAACCGCTCAATGAATAACACACTGTGGAGCACCGAGGAATCCAGAAATAGCAAAGCCCAAAGCCGTCTGCTCAGTAAAGTGCCCACAGGGGAGGTGCAAAGGCAGGGGGGGAAATAGCGAACATGGCATTTTGGGAAAGCTGCGTTCTGTTTGTTCTCCATGTGAAGTTGGAGCGCAGGGACTTGCAACAGGCAGAGGAAGTCCTGCTGGAGAGGAGACGAGACCAGAGGTTAGTGGATGCCTGACTAGGAAGAACCTGCCGGACTTGTTACAAAAGCTGACCTTTGTCCCACTAGCACTCAGGCAGGGGACCAGCACAGAGCAGGAGGATGACAGAATGTGGAAAAACACGTGGAAACACATGGAATCCGGGGACTGGTGTAGTGGGAATGTGAAGGGGGAGGTGGTGCGGGCTCAGCACAGATAAAGGCCACCCAGAGCAGACTGGATGGAGAGAGGGGACCAAATTCACGCTACTGAGATTTTCCATCCATAAAACCCAGTTCAATTACTCAGAGTCAAGAAACAAATGGTAATGATCAAAAAACAAGGAAAAGATGGCAAGATCGCGAACACCTGGAAACTATAATAGATTAACTTTTATTAAGTCTCAGACTCTCTTGCAGGAATAGATGGATTAATAAGACACAGCCATGCTGTTAAGCCTTTTAAATGTCAGTAAGAAAAGCAAGCATGTAAACCAGACAAATATATAATCTGTGTGTTCAATGTAGGGAAATTCTAAGGTTTCCCCAGGAAAAACCAGAGCCAAAGTAGAAAATAAAATAATATTGTACAATACAGAATTGTGACCTATATACCTATGAATATCTATATAGTAAGAATGTCTCAAATAGTTATTTTTAAAATAAGTTGGTTCTTATCTCTTTTTTTCTACTTTACTAGACTTATCTTTTGCCAAGGTTGTTTACAATTCAGTTTTTTAACACTAAAGGTCAATTAATACTGGTCTACCTAAGCTCAAATCAAAAAGAGCTTGGCAAAATTCATGTAAAAAGAGCATGTTATAGGGATTTGGGGCATAATTAAGAATAAGACTGCCCTTGATGATTTTATAAGTGTATTACCTAATTACAACCTATTTTGAATGACATACCTAATATCTACCTACACATACAACAAGCATTTAATTTCAGTCTCCTAGTCCCTGCTTCCAGACTTCTGAAATTCCACCTATTTAGAGCATTTATAGGGCTTTCTATTAACTTACTGCCTTAGTGAGATTGTACATGAAAAGGTGAAAATTCCTTTCCAGTACAAATGCTCTGTGGAAAGTGTAACTCCGGGACCAGGGGATTAAAGCAGAACTCAGTACTTTCCAGTAGCTGTAATTACTGCCCTGCTAAGAACACACACCAAATACCAGAAAAACACCCTTGTAAGTCAGCACATAAGTTACTTTGTATTGAGCCAACAGTTGGAGAATTTAAAACTGAAATCACCAAAAGAAGTTAATACCTGACACTTGATAAAACTTTCTGAAACTTATATATCCTGTGTTTAAGTTTCATGAATCTTATTGCTAAACCCAATTTCAAAATGTGTTGGGTTTTAAGGCAAACAACACATTTTAAAATTTTGGTTTAGTTATCAGAAGCACTGCTTCGGTGAAAGCTTTCCCCATGCCATCCCCAGACTGAGACAGTCCCTACCGAACCGGTGTCTAGCTTCTTTCAACCGCTCTGCTCCAACCCGTTCTTCCTGGGTTAATCTGACCAAAAGTCCTTCAGCAAACCTCTCTCAGGTGATAAATACAATGAAGAGTCATTAACACAGATATAGTTATTCATGATGAGGTCCACAGAACCCCTCCAGCTCTTTGGAAATGCCAAGTTCACATGCCGGCAAACCACCTTCCTCTCCTGCCCACCCTGTCCGACCCCTAACCGTGCATCATCCAGTTCTCCTTCCCTTTTCTTGTACTCCCACCACCCCTCACAGATGCATTTCTGCTCTTTAGTAAGATGGTTGGTTGTCCCTGTGTCTAACTAGAATTTGAACCCATTAAATTAAAAAACTATACCATTTATGTCTCTATCTCAGAGCCTAGCCTTGTGCCTGGCACTGTGAAGGCACTCGAGTACCATTTGCTAAATGAATAAAAAAAACTGGTATCAAACAGGTTCTCCATTTGTGCCTGCTTAATCAGAAACACTGTTACATTGAAAATGATGTAATGAACACAATATTCTTTTTTTTCTTAATGAAATGTATGAGTGTGTGTGTATAAACATGTCTCTTGAAAAAAATGTACCATCCACTCTCAATTCTGCATCACTTTCTCTAAAGGTATGAGAAGAGGAGAGATGATAGAGGAAGAAAATTATTCAACAGGAACAAGGTAATTTTCAGGTGATTTAAAAACAAAATATCAAAAATTAAAATAGAGTAGATAAAGACACTAAAAACAATGGACGTCTGCCTGGTGAAAACAAACAAACGAAAAGAGACTCAAAAGGTTTGGAGTGGTACTCTCAGACTTTTAAAAATACAAGGGAAAGAGAAATATGTTTAAATTCCAATAATCTCAAGCCATATGAAAGATGACAAGCATTTCCACTGTTCCTACAATGTAACCCCCTTTGGGACATTTCAATAGCAGTATTTTTAGAAAGCATGCATTTTACTCAAAGCAGGGGTGAGGGGCAGGATTCATAATCACACGTAGGCACAAAAAAAGACCACCTTGCATTTTTTAAAAAATAGCTCCATCTTACTTAGCTAACAGAACTTTGGAACTTAGTCCTTCAAAATATCCTAGATAAATATCAAGGTCAAAATAACACAGAAGCTCCTCAGTTTGGAAGCAACCTTATTTAGAGCTGAAAACCAGGACCCAATGTACAGCCATTCAGCATCCACCAGACACAAAATAAGCCGTGGGCCATGGAAAAGGGGCACGTTAACGTTCCAGAGGTCAATTTCCACAGAGGAGAACCCCTATCTGGTCAGTTAAGATACATTATGAGTTTTTATTAATTCTAACATGATTCCCTAAGCCCTAGCAGATAAGAAGCAGAAAATGGCACAAGTACGCAGAGTCTCACACACTCAACAGCCATGCACTGCCCCCGTTTTAGGGGCCGGCCCCGTCTTGGTGCCAGGGGTGGAGCAGGGAACACACCAGGCACAGCTGGTGCCCTCACCCCTTTGGAACCCCCGTCCGGGCACCCCACAATCACCTGGCAACTGTGTTTATAAAGCAGATTTCTGGGCCCAGTTGGCACTGATTGTCAAGAATGCCAACTGGTGTTGGGCCCAGGAATCCACATTTTTTCCTTCTTTTTTAAATCCTCACCTGAGGATATGTTTATTGAGTTTGAGAGAGAGAGGAAGGGACAGAGGAAAGGAGAGGGAGGGATGGGGGCACAGAGGGAGAAAGGGAAGGGGGTGGGGGTGGGAGCAGGGAGAGAAAGAGAAACATTGGTTGGTTGCCTCCAGCACAACCCCTGACTGGGGATCGAACCCGCATCCAAGGTATAAGCCCTGACTGGGGATCAACCCCACAACTGTTTTAGTGCACAGGATGACGCTCCAACCAAGCCAGGGCAGGAACCCACATTTTCAACAACCCACTCCTCCTTGCCTGGGTTGCTCTGATACAGGTGGCCCTCGGACCACATTTTGGATAGACGACGGTGCTGGAGCGTTCCACATGACGCTAAACCGAACAACTGGGAGTTGGATAGGGAGGAGAAGAATCTGGTCAGAAGGCTCCCCACTTAATATTTAAATGTATTAACTGCTGATACTTAAAGAGTAGATATCAATTACTTAGAAAGCTCACTCCTGTTGGAAGGCATTACCCATTTTCCAACACTGACATTTCAGAGAGCTTCCGGCCCCAGCAAAGAGCCGCTGCCCTAAAAGCACGCTGAGCATCGCAAGTACGGTGTGAGGCC